GCTTAAAATTAAATGTTAAAAATAAAATCATGGCATCCAGCCCCATTACTTCAAGGCAAATAGAAGGGGAAAAAGTGGAAGTAGTGACAAATTTCCTCTTCTTGGGCTCTAAAACCACTGTGGATGGTGACTGTAGCCATGAAATCAGAAGACGTTTGGTTTGCTTCTTGACAGGAAAGTGATGACAAACCTAGACAGTGTGTTGAAAAGTAGGGAGACATCACTGTGCTGACAAAGGTCCATATAGTCAAGGCCATGGTCTTCCCAGTGGTCATGTATGGTTGTGAGAGCTGGACCAGATAAGAAGGCAGAGCACTGAAGAGTTGATGCCTTTGAACTGTGGTGCTGGAGAAAACTCCCTTGGACAGCAAGGAGATCAAACCAGTCAATCTTAAGGGAAATCAACCCTGACCACTCTTTGGAAGGACTGATGCTGAAGCTGAAACTCCAGTATTTTGGTCATCTGATGCAAACAGCTGACTCATTCAAAAAGTCCCTGATTCTGGGAAAGATTGAGGGCAGAAGAAGAAAGAATCAGAGGACGAGATGCCTGAACAGCATCACTGATGCGATGGACATGAACTTGGGCAAACTCCAGGAGATGATGAGGGACAGGGAGGCCTGGTGTGCTACATCCATGGGGTCACAAAAAGTTGGACCTTACTGGGCGGCTGAACAACAGCAACAACTTTTATCAGGGATTCACAGCAACCAATTTTATCCTTCCGTTTTCTCAACTTCACTCCTTCCCTCAATCAACTGACTTTATCTTTACTCCCAAGGACAGAAAAATCTGGCTAAATATTCAGACTAAACAATTATTTGTGCCAGAATCATGGCTGGCACAAATTCAAGTTCAAATGATGAGATTGAACTCTTTCTTGTTCTGGTTGATCCCTCCCCCTAAAGGTAGCTTATATGGAAATTTGGGGAGAAAGGAGCAAGGGAACTGAGGAGAGGGAAGGAGAAGAAATCTTAGGGAACTTGTCAGAACACAATGGCACCAAGAGTAATTCTGTGATACCTGGCCACATTCCTCCTAAAACACCAGAAGGGATTAAGCCTCTGCTTTATGAGTTTGCACAGTTTAATCGAATCTTAAGTTAAACTGGCTAGGTGGATACTTTTAGGAGGAATCTGTAGGACTAGCAAAGCATGAGACATTACTTCAAAGGTATGCTCCATTTCCAAAGAGCTGAGCTATTAGGTACAATAATTGAGTTAAAGTCCAATGTATTTAGGAGTTATTCCACTACTGTCCCTAGGAGGCAATGGAACCATCTGTAGCAATCCTACAGTACGTGCTTTGAGAACTACTTTGCTCCTTTTGAGAAGTCAGGTTGCAGCCTGTGGGCTTCGCTGTGGTTTAGCCTGTAAAGAATCTGCCTGCAATGCAGAAGACCCAGGTTCAAGCCCTGGGTTGGGAAGATCCTCTGGAGAAGGAAATGGCAACCCATTCCAGTATTCTTGCCTGGAGAATCCCATGGACAGAGGAGCCTGATGGGCTACAGTCCAAGGGATGGCAAAGAGCCAGACATGAGTGAGCCACTAAAAGCCAGGCTGCAGCCTGTAGCCCACAGAAGTGACTCCACAGAACCCCAAAGCCATCTCTCTTGCACTAGGGAAACCAATTTCTCAGTTTGAGATTGTAGTAGATTGATGACAAAAAAAAAAAAAAATGGCCTCAATTCTCACTCTTCTTTTATCCACACCTTTGCTACATGTCTTTGAATTTTCTCTCAAGAAGCGAAATCTGTTTTCCCACTCCTGGTATCCAGGTTGGCCTTATGATTTAATGTGGCTGATAGAAAGGGCAGAAGTGACCATTTCTGAGCCCAGACTGCCAAAGCTCTTGGTATTTCTACTTCCTCTCTTTTAGAACACTGTCCAATACCATGAGAACAATCTTATGTTGGTCTGCCACATAATGAGTTGCCTCAATCAACCAAGGGCTTCCCTGATATCTTAATTGGTAAAGAATCCACCCACAATGCAGGAGACCCCAGTTCGATTCCTGGCTTGGGAAGATCCCCTGGAGAAGGAAATCTATAGTCCATGGGGTCGCAAAGAGTCAGACACGACTGACTTTCAGTTCACTTCACTTCACTTCCATCAACCAAAAGCAACCTACCCCCAAACATTCTATTTCTGGCAACTCCGGTCATTCTGCTCAGTGACTCACACAAGCTCAGCCAAGATCAAATCTGCCAAGCTGACCTGTAAGCTCAGGAACAATAAAGAAGTGCTTATAGCTTTAATGCTACCTTTGGGAGTGGTTTATTATTCAGCAATAGAGAAGGACCAGCGAGGGTGGCCCTTTGAGTGCCTGATGTGTCAGAAATCTCTATAGAAGCTAATACCTAGGAGGCAAAGCTGCCTTAACAAAACACAAGACATATACCATTATCATTGGGACTAAGTAAGAAGCAGAGGCTGAAAAACCAGAGAGCAAACTATTGGCAAAAGTTGGGAAAATGGTGATGAAATTATACTAGAGGATGAAACGATAATGACCTGTATTAAAGAGAGCAAAACAGTTGATAAAACAATTGTCTTGCTTAATGCAAGATGTAAATATATCAAATGAAACTTTGGATTTGACTGAGGAAGTCTCCAGGCAAAATGTTTAAAGTGTTCTAATTGTATGTCCAGTTATTGTCATGATATGACACCGACAGGGAGAGAAAAAAAAAGGATAAGATAAAGAAGTTATTAACCAGTTTGGAAACTGACTTTGGAGGAAATATCATTACCATAACATAATGAGATAGAAAATAAAACTATTTCTCATCACCAGTTTCCTTAGCTTGAGGACAAAAGTGAAATCAAGTGCTAAAGTTTGAAAAAGTTAGGTGGTTCCTTAAAGGTCCTCTGACTTAAACAAAAGGACTTATTGGAATCCTCAGAGTTGGTTCTACAGAAGTCATTCCAAAGTAGCAGCAAGTCTAGAGAAAGAGTAATGTTTGGTTTTTGTCCAATGGAGTGAAATTTTGTTCAGTTCATAGGAAGATCAGAAAGTTGTGAGAGCACCACTAGGCTGGATTAAAAGGAACAGATGGTTCAAATTTTAAAGAAGTCTTGGTTTTCATGTATGGTTGTGAGAGTTGAATCGTGAAGAAAGCTGAGTGCCGAAGAACTGATGCTTTTGAACTGTGGTGTTGGAGAAGACGCTTTAGAGTCCCTTGGAGCAAAGAGATCCAACCAGTCCATCCTAAAGGAGATCAGTCCTGGGTGTTCATTGGAAGGACTGATGCTGAAGCTGAAACTCCAGGACTTTGGCCACCTCATGCAAAGAGTTGACTCACTGGAAAAGACCCTGATGCTGGGAGGGATTGGGGGCAGGTGCAGAAGGGGACGACAGAGGATGAGATGGCTGGATGGCATCACCGACTCGATGGACATGGGTTTGAGTAAATTCCGGGAGTTGGTGATAGACAGGGAGGACTGGCGTGCTGCAATTCATGGGGTTGCAAAGAGTTGGACATGACTGAGCTACTGAACTGAACTGAACTGAACTGAACTGGTCTTCAACTTGCTATATAAGGAAACAGGCTACAAGTTTCTTATCTGTCGGTAAGAATGAGCTGCTTCTTCAGAGTCAGTCAGGGGGTTGATGGGCAAGGAAGGATGAGCAAGTAGAGCAAAAGGTGATGAAAAACAGAGGACTGCAATGCTGTTCACAGGAAGCAGTAGAGACAAAGGGGCTGAGAAAACAATTTCAGGGAGAAGAGCCCAGGTCTAATCAAGGAACATTAACAGCCTCCAGGAGAGGAGGACCTGGCAGTCTGTTCCCAGCCAGATTTCAAAATCTCTACAAACAAGTGACAGCTATGTACTTCCCATTCTTATTTAATAAGAGTGTTATCTGTAGTTACCTTGTTGTTATCTCTGTGGTGCCTATGTGGGTGGTAGTTAGCTTACCATTTCAGTTCATAGGTTTCTGCATTAAAAGGAGCCACATCTAATAGATCATATTTGAATCTGATTTAAATCTTTAAACTCTGGAATTCAATCTTGATATCATGACTGATTAAAGCTTTTGGAGACCTGGAGATAGGGAGGCAGAAGGCAGCTTCATAGAATGGCCCCAATTCTCTCCCTACCCTCTTTTATCCACAGCCTTTGTAATGTGACTTTGCAGCTCCTCCCATCAAGAAGTGGACTCTGTTTTCCTTGTTGAGTTGTTCCTCCTAATGAATTGTGGCAGAAGCAATGGTATGCCAGTCTTGAACCTAGACCTCAAAACATTGTACAAATCTCTTTCTTCCTCCTCTCCTCTGTCCCTCCCTAGCTACTGGCTAGTCCACTGGAGGGACAGGTGGCCTTGTTATCTTTGTCACTGTACACAGCAAGCAACTAGCTCCCAAACATTTTAGGGAGGAACAGATGCACCAATTGACTGCAAATTCATGAGGGAATGCTCCAAGATCAGCCAAGCCTGGCCCAGATCAGTAAAATCATCCAGCTGACCTACAAACTTCATGATCAAAAGCAAAATGTCCACTGTTTAAACCATTAAGTTTCAGATGGCTTGTTACACAGCAACAGATAGCTGATATAAGATGATGCTCATCTTTCCCTATGAGGATCATAAGGAAAATATTATCAATATTTTTCTATCAATTCTCAGGCATACCTTATATCTTTCTGAAAAAATTACTTTTCTATTAACCAGTTTCTGTTGCTTGCATCCAAACATCTAATTTATAAACTAACCATAGATTATAGTCAATGAATATTTCACAAAGTTGAAATATATACTTTAAAAATTATGTCATTAACACTATACTGCATAATAAGAGAGAGAAAAAAAATGTTTAGAAGGCTCTTTGGGGAGCTGGTATGTAATTTCATGATTCTGTCTCGTTTTTTTTTTTTTTTTTCTCAGTAAAATTCAATTTTAAAAATTACATCTTCAGCATTTAATTTTAAGACCATATGTATAACCAGTTCTATCTTTCTAAAATTATTTCTACCATTCCATATATATTTGCATACAGAGAGATATCTGAGAGTCGCATATGTTTCAGGATTTGTGGTTACTATGTTTACAATACGTTAAACAAGTGACTCCGTTCAGTCTATGCAGAGATCAATCAGCTCAGGTAAGACAAAGATGTTCAAACTTTCTCTTTGACCAAATACACTGATTGATCTATTGAATTAAATCAATATAATAAAACTTGTAACTCTATGAAGCTCAGGATTAATTATATCAAAAGTATTCACTGATGGAAAAACTCTAATAAAACTAAAAGACACATGCCTTCATATTTTCCAAACCTTGGGAAAGAAGAACAAACTGCAGCATAACGTGATCCTTTTCTCACTTCCTGCAGGATCAATATTTTTTAATCCACTCATTCTTCATGAGCATCATCTAATAAATCAGATGATCCCAAAGAAGATACAGAATGACATTAATTGCGGGCCATCATACTTTTATTGAATAACTCTCAGTAGTAATTTTCTAATTGATTCCATAGAACAAAACCAGAAATTCAGAGAAAATTCCTAAAATATTAGTCTTTGCTTTTTTTTCTAAAACAATTTTGTTCAGGATAGATAATCAATCATTTTCTTAGGACATATATATCATAGAATTCTAGATTGCTGTCAAATCAAGATCATTGCCTAAGTTTTTTTTTTTTCTTAAGCTACAATTTACATTGATATATCTTCTTCACATAGGTCATACTTCACAGTCTACAGGCAAAAATAAGGTCACCCTTGTCATCGCTGTGTTAGTCATGTTAGTTGCTCAGTCGTGCCCAACTCTTTGCCACCCCATGGACTGCAGCCCAACCAGGCTCCTCTGTCTATGAGATCTCCCAGGCAAGGATACTGGAGTGGGTAGCCATTTCCTCCTCTAGGGATCTTCCCAACCCAGGGATCAAACCCAGATCTCCTGCACTGCAGGCAGATTCTTTACCAACTGAGCTACAAGGGAAGCCCACACCAGTCTCAAAACTCTGTTTTAGGGACTTCCCTGACTGTCCAGTGATTATGACTTCATCCCCACTCCATCCACTGCCAGTGCAGGGTGTAGTATGGGTTCAGTCCCTGCTCAGGGAGCTAATATCTCACATGCCTCTCGGCCAAAAGATCAAAGCACAAAACAGAAGCAAATTCAACAGACTTTAAAAATGGTCCACATCAAAAAAAAAAAGAAAAAAAGAAACTTAAGAAGAGCTCTCTTTTATCTGTATTTACTTACAATAGTGTAAGAACTCTTCTTTTCCACCAAGTTTTGTACAGATCTATCTAGAAGTCCTGTAGGTACTATCTCTGTGTTTCTGATCTCATGTTCTCTGTTATTATGTGGCTGGCAATCAACATTTCACTCTTCTGTTGTGCTATCTCATTGCTATATTATTACTTAGGCCACAGATGCCAATTACCAATACACATGCAAAAGCAGAGAAGCTGACAGTGCAGTGAGAAAGAGCCAGAGAGGCTGAAGGTGTCTTCATGCTGTTGATAGATAGGACTGTTCCAGCCTCTTATGTCCTTCTGACAGCACCATTTCTCCAAGTCACTCTTGTCTCCATCACTGCTGCTAGAACCAATGATGGTGATGATATGTTTTCAGAGATTGAAAGAGATTTTGATTCAATGGTGTTTTTAGTGTTTGCTTTTAGCTTTTTTAATTTGTTCACTCTTAGTTTAGGGTTCCAACCTAGAGATGAATCTTGGAGCTGGCAGCCCATCTGGAGGCACCACAACCAGATGCTTTTTTTTCTTTTTAACTTTTTGGGCATGCTGTGTGGCATGTAGGATCTTAATTCCCCCACCAGGGACTGAATCTGCCCTGCCTGCTATGGAAGCACAGAGTCTGAACCACTGGATGGCCAGGGATGTCCCCAAAATAACATTTTTTATCTGATTTTCACTAAAGCCATGTGCCCCAAATCTCTTGTTAGGCCCTGCCAGGAAGCAGCACAGTTCCTTGTATAACCTCCTGACAAGACCCGCAACTGTCAGGCACACAAATAGGCCAGCTATTATTCAAGAATAAAACATAGCTTGGGCTCAATTAGGGTCTCCTCTATTTTCATTACAAAGCAAGTGAAAACAAACAAACAATAACAAAAACCCAACAGCTATGACACTGAGTTGCTTTCTATTCAGCTTAAGTAGATTTTTATATGTGTCAATACATGTATAAAATTTACTATTCACAATAAACCCCATTTATCTTGAGTTTATTATGTTCCAAACACTTCATGGGGATTTACAGGAGCCTCCCATTGATCACTTTTTCAAATAAGATTGAGGTTTAGGGAAATATTTAGTAACTTGATGAAAGTCATAGTTAAGCCAGGCCTACTTGATGACAAAACTCTTGTTCTTAATTGCTGTGATCTAAGCATCACAGACTCAATGAATATGGGTTTGGGTGGACTCTAGGAGTTGGTGATGGACAGGGAGGCCTGGTGTGCTGTGGTTCATGGGGTCACAAAGAGTCGGAGATGACTGAGCGACTGAACTGAACTGAAAGCAGCAAGGGATATCTCCTACAGAAAGAATGAGATTTCGAATATGAAGACCACTGATTTTGTTTTATTTAATGACTACTTTTACATTCTTATTTATACTTTAACCTATGCTAGACACATGGAAGCGGATGAGCAAGATGACCTATGCCTTCATAAAGCTCATATTCAAATTTTCTTTCCCATCCTTCTTGAGAGATAATCCAAGACCAATAAATGCAACTTTATTAGAGAGAAATATATGAATTCAGACTAACCTCAAAGGGTAATGAACCATTTGACCTGTAGAGAAACATATATTTCAACTTTCCTAGAAGCTACTGAATTAACCAGGGATCAGCATCATCATGCATGAGCTTTATTTAGTACAAGGTGCAACACAAAAATGCATGAGCTACAATCTAGCATAATCTTAAAGAAACTCAATCCTGTTTTTAGTAAAAATGTCTAACTTAGATCAATTATATATCAATCAATATACAGAGCCATCTATAGAATGATAAACTCACACTGTAATTCCAAAAATCCATTTCTGCAATATCTGCTCTGCCAGCTAACAAATTTAGAATATACTATTTGCAAAAACAAAAATACTTTCTTTAAAATAAAACAGGCCTCAGGGAAACTCTGGTTTATAGTTGATATTATTTCAAAAATACTGAAATCTGCATTTATAAGGACTAAAAGGGAAATTCAGTGCTCTTTCTCCCTTCCAGAAATATTGAATATTGTCTTCAATTACTGACACTCTATATAATATTTTAGAGAGTTAACTATATGTGCCAAGTGGGACTTAGGGGAAGGGAGGGGAAATCATTTACATGATCTGAAAAATAAAATGAAAAAATTTTAACTACGTTGATTCAATAAGATTTTCAATAACAATAACAAAAAGGAGAGTTTCCTTGACTTGTTTTGTACTTTAAGAGAACCATTCACCACATTATAAATAGGAGGGAATTCCTGTCAGCCAGAAAGACACAGAACCTGTATTTAATCTTCTTCCAGTTATAAAAAAGCTATTCTGCTGTAATATTATGTCTAAAATTAGAATGAAGAGTAGAGAATTGAATTAATTTATATGAAGGAGTAAATCTGTCATGCAACCAAATGAGATTGACTAAGTGGCTTACCATGAGTAAAAAAAATAGAGCAAGCAGTGATACAGAAAAGACCATAGATTATTCTACAGTTTTATAGGTTAAGTTTGAGTCTTTCTTTGGTAGAAAGGACTTTAACTTCATGTAAAGACAGAATGTTAAGACTAGTTTTCTTCCGGCCAGTTCAGAGTATAGAGGCCTTTAGCCTCTATAGCCTCTATAGTATAATTTGAAGGACTGATCAAATCTCACTATCACACCTATCCACCATGTGCCTGAAATTCCATGATTAGCAGTTCAGTCCTTTGAATCTGGTAGGATTTTGATTTTGAATTCACCCTAGTCTTCAGTGACTTAATCTGTATAATTGCTTTCAGCATTTCTGAGTTTCTCTGTAATTTCTCTTCTGTATAGAACTTTTCATGTGGTTTGGATTAGGACTGGAAATGATCAATTAAGACAGAGTGCAAACGTGATTTTGAAAATTAGTTATGAAAATACAGGAAAAGACGAGATCAGGCACATTCATGATGGTACGGCCGTAGACAACCAGATAGGAAAAGAAGAAGTAAAACTCTCACTGTTTGCAGACGACATGATCCTCTACATAGAAAACCCTAAAGACTCTACCAGAAAATTACTAGAGCTAATCAATGAATACAGTAATGTTGCAGGATATAAAATTAACACACAGAAATCCCTTGCATTCCTATACACTAACAATGAGAAAACAGAAAGAGAAATTAAGGAAACAATACCATTCACCATTGCAACAAAAAGAATAAAATACTTAGGAGTATATCTACCTAAAGAAACAAAAGACCTATACATAGAAAACTATAAAACACTGATGAAA